TAAGAAAGTGGGGGCGGCTTGTGGGTATTGGTGTCATGATGTTTGGTATTACATCTCATCCATCCATCTCACGTTTCCGATTACTAATATTTCTCTACATTCGAAGGGCCTTTACATCTTCCTACCTCATCCGTTATTTTTGTAAGAACGGCAAGAATAGCCTATTATTTGTTATAGGCTTTGTCAAATTTCTTCGTGTTTCAAACACCTCTTCTTCTTGTCCGTCATCATATCATTCTTCCGATTATTTTGGAGATTATATATATTTAGTGATTCTCCCTCCACCGTTGTAAATATTCACTCTCCTTGTAACCGCTTATTCCACCATCGACATATCATGATTATATTTCTACAAAGATCCTCTGCGTTTTGAATTTTTGTTTGTTTTATTTGATAAGTTCATTAAATTAAAATTATAAACAAATTAAATACTCTTCCAAAAACATTGAGACATCAACAAAAGCTATTATAACCACTATTTTTTAAATAAGTATTCTGTTCTTGTGGTTGTCGTTTATTTCAAATTAGTGCGTCCTCGTAAAAAACACTCAACTCCGCAATTTAACTATGAAGATGTATTAGTAATGATGCTGGAGTACGTGCATCAAGTTTCAAAATAAGTGCATCTCAAGATAATAAGTCAACAAAGAAAAATATAAGTTTACTTTAGTTCTTAATTACACTCATGCAACATGCAATAAAAAGGATAGATGAGACATAAAGTGTGCGTGAAATAAGTTAGCAGTGCACGACACGTGAGAGTTTGATAAATAGATTTTCATATGCAATCACACAAGTTATTATATATATCAAAATTATGCACGTACATTAAAAACATCTACTCGTATTTATTAAAAACAATTAATATTTTATCATAATTTTATCTTATTTGTTCCCTACGATTGTGTTAATTAACACACATTTAACATTTTAAGGTGCAATCCGACTTCAATTATAGTGTAGTGGATTTAAATATAGATGGTTTCTGTAATAATGCACATGAACCATTTAAAAGTGCATAAAATACATTTCTTGTGCTTGTGAGTGCATTGAACATGGCTCTATGTGCATCATGTTTCAAAATAAGTGCATCTCAAGAGAACAATCCAAGAAAGGAAAAAATAGGTTTGTTCTAATTTTTTATTATGATGAAATGCTAAAACACTGAGAAAATATAGTGTGCATGACATAAATTATGAGTGCCTAAAACACAAGGAAAACATAGAATAAGAGTTTGAATAATAGATTTTTCATACTCAATTATAAATATTTCTATATCCAAATAATTCATGCGAAAAACATATGTTTAATTACAAAATCTATATTTTATCATCTTTTATTCTTATTTGTGCCCCACAAATGCGTTAATTAACATTTGTGCCCTACAGAGACGTAACTTTTTAGATGCAATCTGGGTTTTTTATAGTGCACTTTATTTACATTTAGATGGTTCCTCTAAGATTGCACATGAACAATATAAAAGTGCAAGTAATGTGCTTGTAAGTGTATATTTTATACATCTGATTGCATATTCTAGTTTAACTTAATACCAGACACATGTAATGTGCAATTAACACTAGTGGAAAAAACACTTTCTATGTCGGTTAAAATCGACATTTAATGTCGGTTCTAGACCCGACATAGATCCCGCCGACATTAAAAGTACAATACTTTTCACATGGGATAAGGGAACCGTTATTGAAAGTTTTTTATATCGGTTATTCTCCTACCCGTTATAGAATGTTATGTGCACGACCAACACAATCAATATGGGTGGTATTAGTTAACCGTGATTGAATGTAAATTTCAGTGCGTCGTTGGGTAGTGCTTTAAGCATTGATTTGTTGAATAACTAAAATGGTTTTTATTTTTAATCACTATTGCAACCCAGTTTAGCTAATTTTTCAAATTAACAACAAAAGTTAAAAAATTTAGGCATATTATATCAACGTAATATTAATCATACTTGGTGAAATTACAATATTCCCATATAATAACGTATTATAACAATATTAACAAAGTTACATATCATCTTAAAACTACTATCAAATGCTTGTCACTGAAAAGCAATGTCGAATTCTCTTTCGTCTTGTTGATATCATGTTGCATAAATATAGAATACCTGCAATAAGAATAATAAAGTAATCGTGCTTAAAATATATCAAAGCAAGCATAAGGAAAATATATATAAAATTAAAAAAGACAAGTGAAAAGTTGAAGTACAATATATAAAAGTACAAATATAAACACAAATAAAAAGTTATCACTAACTAATACGGAGTATGAATCAACATAATAGCTGCACGGCTGCACCTATAGGTCTAACTAGCAAAGTATCTGCACTCAAAACCTATAAGAGTCACTAAGAGTCAATTCCCTAACTAAATGAATCACAATTTCAGAAAACTATATTACTATAGTTTAAGACCCCTACCAATCAGAGTCTCTATATTGTAAGAAGACATTACTAATAATTCCTATATCTTGTATGGTTTCCAGAACTTGTAAGCTTACACTTAGCACAAAATCATAGACTTCATTCCTAAAATCATCCTGATCATTCCTCAATCCTGAATCATTGCTCTTCTTTCTTACTTGATACACTTCACATCATACTACTTGATGGATTATATGGACTCTGACCCCCCGGTATGCCGACTACTAGGCCTGGACAGCGGCCCACACACGTTTAACAGATATCATTAATATTATTGTACATTATTATTATTATTCAGATGTTCTAGATTAGCTTTTTATACTATCAGTCCATTTATGTAACCGGGTCTGTCAGGCCCATATTAGAGGCCCAGACCCGGATTTTCCCTATATATACTCCTTATAGGAGGCTTGTAACTCATATAACAAATATTCATTCTATACACATTTCCCTCTTCTTCATCATTTCTTCTCTATTCTTGTTCAATCTCTCCTGTTTATACAATATGGGTATCAATTATCCAACAATGGTGCTCTCGTTGAGAGGTTGAACACAATCAAGTGAGAAAACCTCCCTAAATTACCCAAAAAATTCATCCCATTCACACAAAAATGAACAAAACTGCTCTAGAAATTCAGAGAAAAACGGAGAAGAAGAAATCCAGATCTATGCCGAAGATGTTAGTGTCGTCCGTCACTGTGCGCTACAGCTGACACCACTTTCCCAGATCTCGCCGTCGCAAAGTTGCTGCCAGACTGCTATCCAGATCTCATAGCCACAGCTCCGGATCTCGTCGCCACAGCTCCAGATCCCGCTGCCACGCCAGGGCCAACGTAGCTGGACGGTCGCAGTCGGAGGTCGCAGACTCGCGGCCATCTCGCGGAGCTCAGAACTCTCTTTCTCCTCTGTACAGTCCGCCATACGAGTCTTCCTCAAGCTGAGCTTGTTGAAGTCGGCGGTCTGACCACTCTTATCGAGATAACCAGGAACGATGAGGGCGGCAAGATACCTGTGCGACCTGCGGATCTGCGGACCTACCAGGAGACCTGCGCCCTACTACCACGACGAACTCAACAACTTGACCAAAGATCTTCCCAGTCAGCAGCGAGGACGGCTGATTGAGGGTCCTTCACCCCTTTTTCTTCATCGATACCAGTCACTAGGGAAGACGTCCTTGTGGAGCAAATGATTATGACCAAGTCTAAAGTCTGGTTCAGGACTACAAGCCCAAAATTTATTCTCAAAAATGAATATGGGCTAGGCAGCACTAATCAACAACATGGCTGTCAGTTTTTCACAAATTAGAATGAGCCCAAAGGAATCAGCTAGATATTATTCTTTTCAAGCAGTCTAATATTTCAGCCCATCAAAAGATAGGTACTCTTTAATTTTCATATTATTTATTTTTATTTAAATTAATTTTTTGTCGTGCGAGCATTACACTATCACGCACTTATGATCAAATACCTAGTAGAGTGTGGCTTGAGACCCATCACTAGGATTTAAAGCCCTGACTCCTCAGGCACAAAGCCCTGTCTCCTCAGGCACAAAGCCCCGACCAAGTCGGGCATGAAGACAAAACCCCGACCAAGTCGGGTACGAAGACCGGTCTTAGTCATTCCTCGAGTGGCGACCGTTGCTTACGAATGGCTCACACATCCATTCTACTAAGTATTTTATCATTACATTAACAATTCACATCTCCACTTGTTTCAAGTGACGAACTCCCGATCGGGAACATAAATCCCAAGAAAAATTTTTTATATGTATGATAAATGTGTAGGTACGAAGATGACTTTACTCATTTTCACCTCGTCTCCACTCGCTTCAAAGAGTGGGGACTGGGGGACTGAGGGGTTAGAGTTTCTAGATGAGCAGAAAACATCACGCAAGAGCAGGAACGAGAGCTGAATCAGTTGAAGAGGAGCTGAGCTAGATTGATTATGCCGGAGGGGATTTACCTTCCTTGTTTCATGTTGGGGGCGCTAGGTGTACTCTTTTTCCCTTTATTAGGATTTTTTCCCACTGGGTTTTTCCTAGTAAAGGTTTTTAACGAGGCACCTCCCCATAATGGACAAGGGTGGTGGTCCCCCGGCCGAAGAGGAAGAACGTTGCAGATACAGTTTGGACTACTCCCTTTCGCCTCGAGTACTCTCGACTCAGGGAGTGGGGGACTCCTGATGGATTATATGGACTCCGACCCCCCGGTATGCCGACTACTAGGCCTGGACAGCGGCCCACACACGTTTAACAGATATCATTAATATTATTGTACATTATTATTATTATTCAGATGTTCTAGATTAGCTTTTTATACTATCAGTCCATTTATGTAACCGGGTCTGTCAGGCCCATATTAGAGGCCCAGACCCGGATTTTCCCTATATATACTCCTTATAGGAGGCTTGTAACTCATATAACAAATATTCATTCTATACACATTTCCCTCTTCTTCATCATTTCTTCTCTATTCTTGTTCAATCTCTCCTGTTTATACAATATGGGTATCAATTATCCAACACTACTCATTTCAGATAATCTTCCCACTCGTCACTGGTTACATAGATTTTGAAGAGCATACCATAGAAAGAATCGGGTCTGTCTTAATCAATCCCAAAAAATGAACTATTAGCCCATATCCAAAGCACACTTGATTCCATCTCCTGCAGTGAAAAATAACAAGTGTGTAAATTCTTTTGTTTCTAATAAAATCCAACTAAACACATATGGACAATGAAGATACCTTAATAGGAGCTGATTTTTCTCCTCCTCTCATAATACTCTTAAAATAAGGAAGAATAGCCAGGTATTGCTTTATTTAGGGATAGTAAAAAGAAGTTTGACTTTGTCAAAAAGAGGGTTTGGAGATCATTAGAAATTAGTGAAGGTTATTGAATAATTGTTCTTCTTCCTTTGTTTAATCCTACAAGAATCAGATTTTGAAGCTACCTTAATTTGAAAATTGAAGACATTTTCACATACATCTTATAGACACATATAGACACGTAAAAGAAAAATAAATAAAAAACTCAAAACTCAACCTTTTCAATTCCATCTAAACTTTAGCAAATAGACACGTACAAGAACAAGAAAAGAGTACATAAGTTTAAAAGTAGAATCCAAGAAAATATTAAATATGTATAATATACACTCCGTATATAATATAGCAAGAAAATGTGTTCTTACCCAGATTTGGCTTATCAGGGGTTACTCTGAGAGTCTAAGGGAAGCTGTTCTGGTAATGGATCACCAGAGGTTAATGATGTGAGGTCGAGGGTCATCCATGGAGTGCAGCGGCGGAGCTTCTTACGCGTTCCTCTATCTTCGTGGGTCATCCATGGAGAGCGGCTGCGACGGAGCTTCCTGGATTTCATCTAACTCCGAGGGTAATCTATGGTGAGCGGCGGCGGCGGAGCTTCTTGCACGTTCGTCTATCTTTGCAGTCATCCCTGGAGAGCTGCGGCGGCAAAGCTTCTTGAGCGTTCCTCAATTTTCGCTCGATAGGGTTTTTTGCCGGAATGTTCTGTCTCTGTAGTGGGTTTGGTCTCGATAAATAAAACTTCATCTTATTTAATGAGGGTTAAAAATGAAAGGACATAGAAAGACTATTTTTTAAAATTATAAAAAACGCTCCGAATGTAGTTTCAATTTATGAAAATTATGAATATTACCCCGTTTTCAGCTTTCTATGTCGGTGCTTTTTATAACCGTTATGGATAAGATTAAATATTTGTAATTACTCACCCCCAAAGCGACACCAATCTTTCATTATTTAAAAATATAGCCCCGCGTAGACATACCATTACGGCTCTCTACAAACCCATATGAAATGTTGGTTGTTAAATGTGTGTTTTGCACTAGTGTAATTATAACTGGTAAGTCTCTCCTCTATCATCAGTGGCGGACCTAGGCATCGGGACCCAGTGTATGCACATATATAACACTGATAATATATACACTACATCTAAAAAAGGCTAAATAAAATATATAGATATAGTAAAAGAAAAAGTACCTTTTATAGTTGTCCTCGGCGTGCTTGCATATTTTGAAAGTGTTGAATAATTAACTCATCATCAATGCTATCAAACACATCACTTTCTATATAAGGAACTAAACAGTCATTCATCCAATCATCTCCCATCCGATTTCGCAACTCGGTCTTCACAATTTTCATGGCTGAAAAAGCTCTTTCAACCTTGGCGGTAGCAACAGGTAATGTCAGTGCTAACTTCAGAAGTAAATAAACTAACTGATAAACACGATGTTTCCCCGTCTTCACCAACATCTCTGCAAGGCAAGCAATTCCTTTCAACTCTGAAAATTCATCATTACTTCGCATATCAAGAATATAAGTCTCCAACTGGTTTTCAAGAACTACTAGCTCCACACTTGAGAAATCACTTGGATAAAATGTAGCAAACTCAATCAACTTGAGCTTGTCAAAAGCTTCAAAGGACTTGTCTGGACTCAAGCACCTCAAACAAAGAAGCAACTTAGTGTTGGACTCACTAAAACGGTAATTAAGTTCTTGAAGTTGCATATCCACAATTGTATAAAACAAGTCATACCGATAATGCTCCCAATATTTTATATCCTTAGCTTTGCGCCGTGACCTGCCTTTTGGTATAAATTTGTCTTCCATATTAGGAATGTCAAGATCATGAACTTTGCAAAAAGCAGACACTTCCTCCAATAATGGATCCCATCCATCATCTCTCATATCTTGCAAGCGTCCCTTCGCAATAGATACCAATTGCATCGCATTAAGGATATCTTGATCCTTTCTTTGCAATGCTTGAGATAATTCATTGGTAATTCCCAAGACAGTCTTCATCAAATGCAAAAAGAATGCAAAATCAAAAGTTTGTATAGAGTCTAAATGTCGCATAGCCTCACCCTTTTGATCAGAAGTCACCCCATCTTCTTTGATAACTTCAAGAACATCAATCACCGAGGAATACATTTGAACTAAACTAATCAGGCTGCCATAATGAGAACCCCAACGAGTTTCACCACTTCGCTTCAAACCAATTCCTTGATTCATGCCTCGCCCAGTTTGAATTTCACCTTTTGCAATTCCTTCTTTAACCTTAGCTGCATGTGTTTCACGAAGCAAGTCGTATCGCTTGCACGACCCCCCAACAATATTGATAAGTGTAGAAATTAAACCAAAAAACAAAGCAGCATGATCATGTGTTTTTGCTACATAAACAAGTGTGAGTTGCAACTGATGAGCAAAGCAGTGAATACAGAAAGCAGATGGATTTTCTTTCAGAATTAAACTCTTAAGCCCATTAAATTCTCCTTGCATATTACTAGCCCCATCATAACCCTGTCCCCGTATCCTTGATACACTTAATCCATACTTACTAAATACTAGATCAATCCCCTTCTTTAAAGTCAAAGCACTAGTATCTGTGACGTGAACAACCCCTATAAAATGCTCAACAATGCTTCCACTTTTGTCAACGTAACGTAAAGCAATGGCCATTTCTTCCTTGATGGATACATCCTTAGACTCATCAACAATAATAGAAAAATATTCATTCCCAAGGTCATTTATAATTGCTTTGATGGTCTCGGTAGCAGCAGCATGAACAATGTCTTTTTGAATCTTAGGGGCAGTTAATCGATGGTTATCAGGGGCATTTTGCAAAACACATTTTTTTATATCTTCATTACAAGCCGCAAGAACCTTTAGAAGTTCAAGAAAGTTACCTTGATTAGAAGATGCATCAGATTCATCATGACCACGAAAAGGTAACCCTTGTTTCAAAAGGAAGCGAATGCAAGTAAGTGAAGCAGATAATCGGCGCCGGTATATTTCACGAACTTGATCGGACTGTTTGAGGATGGCAACATCAATATGTTGGATTTGTTTCATCAGATCTTCACCCTTTCTGTAAGCAATATTATGTGCACTATTTGGCACTCCAACATGATCCCGAAGTCTACCCTTAACACTCCAATTAGAAAATCCTGTGGTAACAAATGCATCCCCACCAGACTGTTTTCCATAGTCAACTTTGAAAAGATAACAATACAAACAATAAGAAGCATCCTTATTTATGCTATATTCTAACCAACTTTCAAATTCATTAAACCAAGAGGGGCAAAATCTTCTGGACTTAGTACCAAACATTCGTTGAGGAAAATCATGAGTGCGCGGCTGGCAAGGCCCTTTTTGCAAATAAAACCTTCTCACTTTATCTTGATCATTTGGATGATAACTACAAAGTTTTGGACGTAATCCAGGGTCTGTGGGCAAATCATCTACATTTACCTCAACTCGAGGTTGTTTAAAAGTATGAGACCCGCTAACTTCGTTATGAATTACATCACGTCTTGGTCTTGTAACAGTAACAAAATTATACATGGACATTGTATCTACAGAAAATGTAGAAATCAAAATATCACTATAAATATAAACATTGCAATATGTCAATATTAATAAACTAACTGAAAAAAAAAAAGTAATTTATAAATTCAAAATTACTTATTGTAATTTTCCCAGTTACAAATATAAGATTCATAACATAGAAAGGTAAAACTACATTAACTGTTTAAATAATTAATTCATTAAATGTGAAATACATTGAAGTATTCGATATTAAAGAATACAATATTAATAAGATTTTAATAATTTAGGGCTAGAGAAATGAATAAAACCTTGGGAATTAGAGTGAATGCATATTGCAACTCTGACCCTCTACTGCTATTTTGCTACTACTCTGCAATTTCATACAAGACAATAGATAAACAGATTGATAGTTAACAATAATAATTTGAACAATGATAACAATAATTATTAACTAATAAAGATTTAATATTAGAGAAACAAAAAGTTTGAAATGAAGCTTAGGAGTAATCGCCAGTTTGTGAGAGAGAAGATGCTACTTACGGATTTTGAACAAGAAGACTAGGGATTTGGCATTTCGCGCACTGAAGAAGAGTAGGTTTCGTCGTTGCTGTTTTCTAAAGAAAAGAGGATAGGGATTTTGATTTTTGAAATGGGTTTAATTAAATTTTTTATTGTAAAGCATTAAAATCCGTAGACTACCTAGTACCTACTGTCCAATATTTAAAAAAAGAAGCCTACGGTCCAGTCCACAAGGCAACAAAGAGTAGAAAATAAGAATTAAAAGGTCCATCTGCCCGGCCCAAATGCTTTAAGTATCAGCTGAGTTTCTGGGAAGTGTTCCAAAAAAAAATAACTCGGGTGTAGCCTAGGGGAGATTCGAACCGGTGACCTGTAGCCTAAGAAGGATTTTAATATTTTAACTACTACCACATAGGCTAGCAAGACTTTTTGAGGTGAAGCCAGTGCTTACCCTAGTAATACTATAGGTCCGCCCCTGTCTATCATAATGTTTGAATGCAAAAAACATGTTCGTTTTTTTCTAAAACATAATTTACGGTTAATTTTCATTTATTTATAGTTTCAAGAGAGTTTAAATTAATAAATGAAAGAGGTTGGTGGCGAAAATCTTGGGATTTCCTTGCGAAGTGGCACCGTTAAAGTACAACTAGAACCGGCAAATCAATTACAATTTACCTATGTACCCTTCTTAGTTGTCAATAATTAATTAAACGTACTCGTAGCATTAATTAGGTGCGGCACATTGCATCTAAACTATTGTGCAACACATCCTTATCAGCCGTTAAGCTAGATTTTCAAATTAAGGGCAAAGATCTTTTCGTATTTTTCACCTGAGAAGCTCTTTTTACCCGAACCTATCCCTATATAATTATATACTACCTCCATACCTTTTATATTGGGACGAAATAGGGTGACACGAATTTTAAGAAAAGTTGATTTGTGTGGTTGATATTAATCGATAAAGTAAGAATAAAGTAAGAATGATTTTGAGTCACACAAACTTTACCAAATATGGTTTGAATCAATTCTAGTGGGACTTCCCGAAAAGGTAAAACGAGACAATATAAGGGGGACGGAGGGAGTACTATTTTACGGGTCGAGCTTTTAGGCCCCACTAGGCCTATACTACAACCCAAGCCCGTCCATATTTTAAACGGGTCCGACCTGACCCGACCCGGTGGGCTAAAACATGTGTCCCCTAAATGGGAGGTTCGACCCGTGTTGGCAGGTCTATGCACAACAACTCCAGGTTGGACGACTGGACGACCTTCTGTAGTATTGTTGCATGATTAGGAGAACTGTCCATAAATGCTTTCGATTCGAAAACATGAAAAATGAGATGTATGTGACAATTGATGTGCAATTCAACGTTATAAGCAACTGGCCCAACTAACCAGTTATGTTCAAAATTGACCTCATGGTGGTGATTGTCATACCGATTCCTCATTTGTGATGGATCTTATTGAAAGTTATATTGATCAGTCATGACGATTTTATCAATAATTGGAGTGATTCGTCCACCCCAGCTAACCTGGAAGTTCCCAATTTAAATGATAAGAGAATAATAGGCGAGGTGGCTCACGACCATAGTAAAGCTAAAAAAGGAAGGAAATCAATAAAAGATGGCAAGCAAAGACCAAAATCCATGAGAAAGTGTTAGGCGTTTTCACACCTATTGGGATACATAGATGACATTGCCTCCTTAACCTCCCCCACTCGAATCAAACACAATAGCTCCATGTTATGATGATCTTCAATCTTAATGTCAATCAAGCTCACTGAGACTCCTCTATGCTTCACACACCCGCCCTTGCCACTCTGATCTTAAACCCTCCACACGATTCCTTCCCCTTCTTTGTTCTACTACTTCATGAAAAAAAACATATTGAGATTACATCTGGTACAGAAAAGGTTCTACTGATGTAACAAATCTAAATACTCCTACCCTCCCAAACTCTGCCATCCCCATGCACCAGAGCATTGTCTAAGATATTCTAACATCTCCACAAAAAGAAAAACACTTACTGAAATCTCCAAATCCGCACCTTCCCTATATACTAACCCCTTTGTGATCATGAACTCAAAGGATTTGAGCTCAAACTCAGCTCGTTTGTTTAACACAGGCCAACCCGAGTTTTGATCGAGCGCCATGACTTGCCTGCACCCTTACCTGAACTTGTCTAACTAGCTTTCAAAATCAAAATCTTGTCCAACTTTGTTGGGTGTGTTTCGGAAAATAAAGAAAATTAATTAATTAAATAAAATGACTAGAGAAAAACAAGAAAGGAGATGAAGCAGAATTAGTCAAAGCTCGTGCTACGCACGATGTCCTTAAAACGTATTTGTTGCCTCCCACGGTGCTAGGAGCGTTGCAACAATCGTTTCCCAGGATACGATGACTACGAACTAATGTTTGAGCACACAAACAAAAGTTCCAGCGAACGAGAACAAGTCTGAACACTAAGGAAATTTTCAGAATGCTAGCAGTGTGTTTTTAGAGCTAAAACGTGTATGAATTCGTGTAAGAACGTGTAAGAACCTGTGTTGTTGCAAACCACCTGCCAGCCTTTATATAGGAGGATTTGTTGTATGAAAATAGTGAATTAATGGACCTGAACGTTGGACATCAATGACCAGTCCGTTGGGCATTGAATCGTCCATGAACTGTCCATCTAACGCTGCATTAAAAGATAAGAACGTTGGGCATTAATTGTTGTAACGTATCAGAAGCGCGACAGAAGACCTCCATCAGAACACCCCGGGAGGGGTTCTGATCGGAGGCCAATCAGAAGACCCCAACTCTGATCCGCGGCCATCAGAGTACCCCCAACTCTGATGGGCGGCCACCAGAATACCCCATCTCTGATGGGCGGCCATCAGAATACCCCATGAGGGGTTCTGCCATCAGAACACCAACGAGGTGTTCTGATCCGTAGGCTTCTGTCCGAGCACTTCTGCCGCTGGGAAAAAATTAAACATTTCGGGAAGAACACAAAAATTAATCGTATCTCTTGAGAGATAGATTTTTGGACGACATTCGTGTCCGCAGGTCGCCCGCGCACGCAAGTCGCAGTTTTTCTTCTCCGAATTCGGGATTTGATTTGCACCCCCCCCCCCCTTCCCCTGCGCGCGTGGAGAGAGCCTTTACCCTTAAGAATCTTAACTCCTCAAGGGGGGAGATCCCTTATAAAGGGTTGCAAATCCCTTGGGTTTTCCGGTGTGGGAAATTAACACTAGAAACCCATCCTTTTTCCCAGTTTTTCCATTCTAACGGGTCAACTTCGAAAAGCGATTTCTCATTCACCCGTTATCCGTTTTGAGCGTACCACATATCGAATTGTAGCCCTAAGCAAGGACAATCCGAAACCACTTTAACCCGACCCAAATCGGAAGTGGACCCCACTCAAAAAATTGCCCCAAAATAGCCATTTAATGCAATTTTTCACACATTTTTCCAACAAACTTTTCCTCTACCCACTAAAGAGAGTCTCACTTCCGTTTTCGTGTAAACTGATGTGTAGTACATGTGAAAAGGAACTCCACGGTGATGGGCTTATGCCCTTACTGAACAAAAGAAGCATAACACAAATCAGACTGAAATGGAAAAGAGTGGGAAGTGACGACCTTACGCTGAACACAGACGCTGCCTTTTGTGGAAATAAGAGTGCTGGTGGCGCCATTATGAGGAAAGCAGATGGGACCTTTCTACACGCCATGGCCTTCCCGATTCCAGCAACAAATCCATTGCAAGCAGAACTTCTGGCCTTGGAAACCTCCATCACAGAAATGGTTACCAAGGGTTACAAACATTTCAATGTTCAAACTGATTCGGAAGTAAGCATCAAAATTTTACATGGGTTTTCGAAATTACCTCCGTACTTGACGAGAACGATGCTGAACATCAACCGTCTCAGGCTGACAAACGGTTTTTATCTGTGCTACCGACCAAGGGAAACCAACGGTTGCGCACATCATCTTGCACAGACGGGTCTTCATCTCCAATCGCTACAAGGATACGAACTCCATGCTCTCCCGTCTAGAGCTCTACACTCCTATTACGAAGACAAGAACAGATCTACTTACTTTAGGGACGCAGGATGAAACGGAATTTATTAATGTTGAAGACCTCAAGTTTGATGTCATTAGTTTCCTTTATGTTTTGTAAACTTTTCTTTGAGTAGGCTTTGGTTTGGCCCTCCTACTCGTGTAACTTTCTGTTTCTTTAATAAATAGGTGGGGTGTTTCCTGGCCCTCACCCCAAGGACCTCCGGGTTTTTGGGATTAAACCAGGTTGTAAAAAAAAAAAAAGTACATGTGAAAAGGAAAATTTGATAGTCCACAACCCATACAGCCTCACGAAACCACTCAACAACCATGGCGGATGGGGCATTCACCCCTTACTGTCACTGGAGTACATTGGATAATTGAAATCCTCCATTACTAGTCAAAGAAGGTGACACTCAAGGCCCAATAGTTTAAGCAATTCCCGCGAGTCCCTACATCCACTAAGCTTAGGGGTAACCATGAAACATAGTGAATTGCCAAGCTGATTCATCTACCTCCAACTGTAATACCGCGTCAATAAAATTACAAAAAAATTACAAAACTGAACTTGAACTCCATCACTCCAAAGAAGAGCTAACCATCTCGAAGGCCAACACTATCCACCACTAAATAATATCTTAAGCCAACCTTTCTTCCCACTCTTTCACATTAGCTTTATTAGAAAAAGTCTCCATAAGAAAAATAATACACATCCTCTTTGAATAGATTAGAACCACTATTTCGCAATCACTTGGGGGTGATTGTGAATACATGTTCAAGAAATTTCCCCAAATAGGAGTAAAATAATACGGACTACAATTATTTTCCTATCCGAAAAATAATGTCAATTATGATAGCAATGCTGTCATAATAAAGCCCGAAATACCAAATATGACAATAAAATTCCAATATGGGTGTAACCGTGTAAGTTAATCGTATGTTGGAATTTTACATTATTTTACTCCTATTTTCCCTAATTTTTTAAATTAATTTTATGGATATGACTTTTGAAATTATTATTGTGTCATTACAAATTCTCTACAACCTCTATTGTGTCATTACAAATTTTAAGGATCTGGCATAACCTTATTTCTGTAGTCATTCATGTTTGACCAAATAAGATTACAAATTATATATAGCCTCATTTACATACTATTCAGTACTCCCTGTCTCTGTTTGCATTGTTTGGGCCATGCCAATCGATGGACCAACTAACAAAAGTTATTTCTAAAATTTAGCCCAAAGGGAGCAATTAGATCCAGCCCATACAATTAATAGTGCAGAAACCCTCACTCGACAGCTTCTTCTTCTCTCAGGAACAGTCATCTATCTGTCACAGATGAGCTGCTGGGTTTCCCATCTCACGTAACGTTATCAACTCGACGACGAAGAAGGACAGAGTTTGAAGGAAAAGTCCATGACGACCGTTGTTCAGACCTCCGAGGAAGATCCAGCGCTTTCCGTTATTCGATTTACCGCCGAGTTGTCTTGGGCGGACGCCGGCCCAGAGGTAATAGCTCCTGTTTCTCCTCTCTAGTTCTTCTCCGCTTGAGGTATTCAATGTCCAATTCAATCGACGTATTGGATGCATGTATGTACCGTTGTTCGTTTCTATTCCCATAACATTTTAACAATTTCATTTTTTAAACATTAAAGTTATGTACGGATGAGAGGGTTTATCAAAGAATTTACAAGAATTAATTAGCTTTTGGGAAGAGTTTTTATGGATTCGAGTTATATATCGGCGTCTTCACTCTTTGGTAGGTAGCGGAGCCTCAAGTTAGTCGACTATGCGTAGAAGGACAAGAATGTATGATAGGAGGCAGGTGGTTGGATTTGGCTTCTCTGATGCTGACATCTGCAGAATTGGTATTTGCCAAAATTTCTGATAAAGGTAAGACATTCATTAATATGGAATATTACATAAACTTAACTCTTTCCTGAAGAGTTTTTATACTTCTGCTATTTGGAGGTGTTCTAATTGTAATTAATAACTGTTATATCTAATGTGGATTGGATGTGAAGGCTTTTTATTACGCTGCTAATAAAAAGTAGAAGTTTTTTTTTTTTGTAGAGTAGTCATGCTTCTATTGGGTTTACTTGTTGGTTTTTTAAAGAACTGTAAAATCCCTGAGGCTTTAAAGTGATCGCTTTTCCTTCATCCATTAGAAGCAGCTCATTCATACTGATTGCATCCAGATGATTTTTTTGTTTACCAGTTTTATTTTTAAATCACTAACCTGCATCATATAATTCCCTTTTATACTAACAAAACATTATTTTCATTTACTATATGTTTATTCCAGATGCCGAGTGCATTTACACTATAATTTCAAATCTCGTGAAGAAGCCCGACAGTCTGGACCAAGTGCATGAGATAGCTGAGCTTATTTCATCAAAAGTCATGCAGCAACCAACAGAGAAATCTGCACTGCGCTTAAAAATGTGACACCTTTAAATGTAGATTTGTACATGTTAGAACAAAAAGTTTTTTTTTAATCTCATTGTGTTTCTTGTTTCCTGATTTTCAGTTTGTTCAACCTCTACAATCTTCTAGACAACCCTTATAGCCGGTTCATTGTATACATGAAGACCCTCCATTTTGCAATCAGTGGAAAGGTCACTGAACATGTTCTGCCATCCTTTAAAAAGATGGACAACTTTTTGAAGGAGTGGAATATTGGGGTGAAGGACAGGAGAGAGCTCTTTCTGACAATCTCTAATATATTGAAAGAACACAAAGGGTGAGAAGGCTGGGCTTCTGAGATATATATTCTCTCTTTACACAGTTTGATGCTAGAATTTAATATGCCCCTTAGTGTTATCTTACTTAGTTTTAAATTCCCAGACATGCAAAAGAGTCATTCACTTTTCTTACAAAGTATCTGTCAACCTTCTCTGGTGATGATGCAAACACTATGAATGAAGCTAAGGATGCTGCTGTTCAGACCATTATTGAATTTGTCAAGGTGCCAGACATGTACCAGGTATCAGTGAGTATTTACTTTATTCTAAAAGTTATTTGTATTTTGTAATATGTTGATGTGATGCTTGGCATTTCTCCACCTTCTTTCACGGACATAAAAGGGGTTTTTGAACAGTGAAGTCAATAGTGCGCTGTAGCAGAGTTGAGTAGCACCCGGGCGCTGCTAGAGCCTATGTAGCAGAGCGCTTGTCTGTAGCAGACATAGCGGCCCCTAATGCAGGAACTATAGCAGTAGTAGCAAGTGCTATAGCGGAGCTAGTGAAGTTTCTGAGTTGTCTGATCTAGGATTAGAGTATAGAGGAAATTTTGTTTTTTTTTTTTGAATTTTTTTAAGGGGTAGTAGGCTGTTCAGAATAAAAAGTAACCCCACTAAAACCCTTTCAAGCATGTAAAACCAGCATTCTAAAATATCTGTTAAGTCAGCCAGAGAACTTGCTTCTTTACTTACTAGAGTTACTACTGTTCTTGTTCCTCTACTATCAACTCTTCTCAGTCATCTACCTCTAGTCTAGAGGCTTGTTTAGAATTGAGCCTACTGCGTTGTGAAAGGCCACATGAGATAATCTTTATTAATATTGAGATAGATTGAGATTTTGTGAAGTATTTGCCATTTTATGCATTTGATGTGTTATGTGTATTGTATGTAATTAGAAGTATACATATAAGCTTGTATTCTGTATAATAGTTATCCAAATAGTGTCATCGTGCGAGTATCTGCTGTAGAGTTTTCGGTGTAGGGTCTCGCTATCCGGGACTGACAACACTGGTTTTGAGGCCTGCCTCAGTGTAGTGCTTAAAACACCCTTTTTAGACACTGCCTGCTGTACATTCTTGAATCTTTAAAAAAATTAAAGCAATGATAGTCCATGTCTTGGCAATCTTTTGTAATGAATGTGCATGTTTCATAGCTTTGTTTATACCTTTATCAGTGTGATTTGCTTGATATGCCTGCTGTGGCACAACTGGAGAAAGATGCCAGATATGCACCAGTATATAAACTTCTCAGGATCTTTCTGACTCAGAGATTGAATGCATACTTGGAGTTCGAAGCATCAAATTCTACTTTAATGAAAACCCATGGTAATTATATGCTCCATTACTTGAGCTATGGACACAATGATGCATTAGTTCTGAAATGCTGGGAACATGAAGTGTTTATTTTATTTTTATACTTTTTATAATAATATAGGTCTAGTTCATGAAGACTGCATCACAAAGATGAGGCTGATGTCTTTGGTCGACCTGGCCTCCAATGATTCTGGCCGAATTCCTTATACTGTGATCAAGGATGTTCTGCAGGTTTAATCATTATGTTATTGGCTGAGGGAAAATAAAATATATTTTTTAACTTTTTTCTTTTAGATATTTTTACATTTAATTTATGATAAGATTCCTTAGGATCATTTCTTTTTGCCCGAGAAATGCTATCTGATCTGTTTCATTAACGATCTGGTCAAAATAAGTCCCACTCAGAAGTAGGGACTGGGGATGGTTGATGGCTTTATGTTTAGTTTTCTTCTCTGAAATGTCACTTCTAGTCTGTTTTGATTAAAATAATATAAAATTAGAATAGTAAGCAAAAAACAAGGCAAATAGAACTGCACCATAGAATACATTTGTAGATAATTTGGCTGTTTTAGAGTTTCAAGCCTTGTAGGTAGTAGGTACCCTTTATATGTTTTTTCTCATTCGTTACTGATCACTTTGGTGCATATGTTGACTTCAGATTGATGTTAATGAGGTTGAGTCATGGATTGTTAAAGCAATCACTGCAAAGTTAATCGTTTGCAAAATTGATCAAATGAATCAAGTAGTAATTGTGAGGTATAATTTGAGTTTCCTCACTTATGCTTCCGTGCCCTGCAAATTTTGGGTGTTGATTTTATGATTAAGCTCTCTCTCTCTCGTGGAATGATGTACCTAACTATATTTGGTGTTACAGTCATGCCATTGATCGTGTGTTCGGCCCAAACCAATGGAAATCCCTCCAAACAAAGCTTGAGATGTGGAAGGTAATAATATTATTTAAATATATGGCTCTGTTCGTTTCCACAAAAATAACTATTTGAAGTCATTTTCCAAGGAAAAAGTTATCTATCTCAAATTCTAAGAAGTTGTTTCTGCAAATAGATGTCTGTCATTCTATGTACTTGTGTAATACAGTTATAAATGTGTAATGATTGACCCACAGGGAAAGCATACAGTTTCTAGGAAATAACAACTGTTTTTTTAAAGCTTTTTGTAAAAAGGGAATGTATTGTTCACAAAAGTCTAAAGAATGAATGAAAATATTTTCTGGTGGCTAACACATGAATTCATTTTTCTATGGAACTTTATCTGCAAAACATAGGCATATTACAAAAACATTGAGGAAAACATTTTATTGCAAACAAAGAGAGCCACCTTCTCATGTAGTCATGTTTACCGCGTTTTCCAACTTTGTGTTTTCCAAAGTCAATTTGCTACTGAGCTTTGATTCCTCTCACACCTTTCACGTTGTCAATTACTCTCACACCTTCCCCATTGTATCGATTACTCTCACACCTACCCCAGTGCATCATTATGTTCCTTATGTGACTAATAATCTAGCAGAAATTGTTTAAGCTAAGCTATTTTAAAAGTCAAAACACATTTCCTTCACAAGTCATGCTGCCATGGCATGGCTGTTGTTATTCCTTTGCCTCAAAGACATCTTCTGAGAGGAGCAGTGTACTTCGGAAACTCAAGGGGTAACTAATTCACTTTCAATAGCATAATGGTGGACTAGTAGTTACTATTTAACATTTTTGGCCTCTTTAGTAACTTCAGAAACATTTAAGTAATATCTCTTGAACTTTTGATGTGATGTTATATATGTTGAGCAAACTTCTTTTGCAGGGCAATATTGCCAATCTTATAAGCACCATTCAAGCTAACAAGATAGTCGATGATGGTTCACAAGCTATGCAAGGGCTAATGATTCGCTAAGATTTTTTTGTTTTGTTTTTAATGTGTTTCAATTTTCCCTTTAGATATAGAGTAAAATGGCATCTAATGTACCAGTTACCGCAAGATTCTTTCTAGCCTAAACTTTGTGGTTCTGAATAGTGAAAACACTCCTCTCCTGCTGGAAGAATTTTTCCCATATTTATTCTCACTTTTGTAACAGAATTGTACCCAGCGTACATTTTTAATGAACAACGGTAAATCGTTGTAGAGTTTTACTGTTACTTCATTATGAATTTGTAATTTTGTTGAATGATCCAATTGAAAGCTTGCAAACGGAGGAAGTTGATTTTTATTTGACCTGAGCCTATTCTGGGACTCTGGGTCAGTAAGGGTAATTGTGGAACTTAAACCTTGGGTTTCTGGTTTTGTGTTCGTTACTTCATTCTAGTTGTAGACTTGTAGTCCAATTTTTGAGGAACTAATGCTGATTTTAACTGGTTGTGGTCTGGAACTAGAAAATGTGCCAGCTGTTTTGGTCTAGTCCAGTGACTCCAGTCCCGAACTGGGAGTGGTTCTATACTTCTATGCTTTCACGGTTTCACCCTTGTGGAGATGTGTAAAAGTGCTACATGTTTCAATCTGTTGGTGTGGACTGGAAATTCACCCACTAATTCATACACGTAATTTTTTTTATTAAGTATCCAATTTTTGGGATTAAATGATTCACCAAATTTTTAGGATTGGACTGGTTCTGGTCTGACCATCCTGGACCGCTACTGTGCGGAACCAGATTGGCCCGGTGAACCGGGACTGTTTCTGGGCCTAGGTCCGGCCCGGGGTGTTAGGGCGGGACGGTTCTGGGCTGCACGCCTGCACTTTTTCGTTTTTTTTGTGGTAGGCGGTTGGGCTGGGTGTTGGGGGGGGGGGGGGGGGGTAAATTAGAAAAGAACAAATATACTACCTCCGTTTCGGTGGACTTTGCCAAATGCAAAGTAGGTGAGAAATAAGAATTGTAAAAGCTGTGTGGTTGAGATTTGTGCAGATGAGAGAGAAATGTGCAGAACTGGCCCAGACCCGGTGGAATCCTGGGCCGGGTCCGGGTCCGTAGCCACACCCAAAAACCCGATTTGGACCAGCCCGGAACCGGTCCATACCTGAGTATAGCTGCAAGCACCCACCAACTCGAGTGGAGTTCCAATAGGAAATAGAAAGCGTCTAGCCATTCCAGAGCTGCATCAAGATTGTGCGGAAAGTTCATATAGGTCAGGGGAAGAGATGGCTCCATTACTATCAATACTCAAGGCAGCCTCATGCCCTCATCCTTCGCTTTTTGTTGCAAATAGAGTGCAGCCTCCAAACCCACAATTATCTCACACGTCATTGGCCTTGTACGGTCTTGCTCGTGTAGACTGCTCTTTGTGATGTAGATGAACATCCTAAGTTTAAGGCAGTGTGCTGATATTGTCCCATTGATGTTTGTATATATGCATCTTGTGCATGACCTGAACCATTGGGCAAGACTTTCCCGATCCTTGTCTGTCTAGTGTTTTATTTCACAGTTGCCACAAGGAAGTAAGGAATAGTAAGGGTGTGTTTGGGAGTTGGGTTTTGGAGGAGATGGTTTATGGGAGTTTATGACCCACCTTTTCATGTTCGGGAGTTTAAGAAATTGAAGGAGATGATTTTTGTGGGATTTTGTAACCCTTCAAGACCCTCCACATGTTCAATTTTTAAGTTCCCCAATTTGGAGGGTTTTGAAAGGTAATTAATGAAATGATTATTTAAAATAAATATCAATTAAATTATTTGAATTTGTGATATCTCAAGGTGATTTCAATTATAATTCCTCCAAAAACTCTTCTTTCAAATTTATTACTAGAAGGGTTTCCTCACCTTCCCCTTCCTCCCCCCTCCAGCAACAAATCTTCAAAGTCTTCCCCTCCCCTTCCCTCCAAACTCCCAAACATACACTTAGGTGTCTCATTTAAAAGTTCTCATTTCATTTTAGGAAATAATTTACTTTCTTTAATTACACATTTACTCAAATTTCTCTTTCCTACTCATTATGTCAAGTCTCATAACTTTCCCTCACCCAACTTATCTCTCGTGAATTACTTTCACTTTATATGTTTATTTTTTTCTAGATTTTTCCTTCCTCTCTTTTTTACCCAAATTATTTTATTTAACCATTTGCCTAAAAAATCGCTTCATTTACCCACGGTAACCTTCCAACAGGACAAAGAGAGTATCTATAGAACAAACAAACTTTAATTAAATCTCCATCATATTTAATCACTATGTGTGAATTTTTAAGGAATGATCCTGTCCAGCAGCCCCCGGTCCGAACAGTGTCCGAACATGGCCATTTGGGGCACTTCCCGGTGGAATTTTTTGATGAAATTTTTTGAGCATGTTCCTCATCAAGTCTAGTTTGTACATACCAAATTTCAGCTCACAATTTGTTCGGGAAGGCATTCAAATCATTTTTTGAAGTTGATTGCGTCAAAATATACATATAAAAACGCAGTCAACTTCAAAAAATGATTTGAATGTCTTCCCGAACGAATTTTGAGCTGAAATTTGGTATGAACAAACTAGACTTGATGAAGAACATGCTCAAAAAATTTCATCAAAAAATTCCACCGGGAAGTGCTCCAAATGGCCATGTTCGGACAGGGGCTGCTGGACAGGATCATTTCTCATGTGAATCATATATACAACGAACACTTACTTAATTTGAGTTGATTGGTGAATAAAGGTGAAAAGCACCCACCAGCTGAAGTACATTTCCGAACTCCTGTGGAGCCCCAATAGGAAATCCGAAATAGCAAGCCTCTAGCCACTCCAGAGCTGCATCAAGATTCCTGAGAAGGTTCACATAGGTCATCCAAAGAGATGGCTCCGTCACTATCAATACTCATGGCAGCCTCATCCTCCATTTTTTCTTGCAAACAAAGTGCAGCCTCCAAACCCGCAATTATCTCACCCATCGTTGGTCTTTTACGGCTTTCCTCCTGTAGACAGCTCTTTGCCATGTCCATGAACATGCTATGGCACTCTGGTGACATTATCCCATAGATGTTTTTGTCTGTGCATCTTGAGTATGACCCGAACCACTCGGCAAAACTTACCCGTTCCTGGATTTTCCAGTGCATTTCACAATTGGCACTTAATATTTCGATTAGCAGCCCACCAAATGCAAACACATATGACTTTTCTAATGCTGGTTCGTGCACATAGACGGATTGCTGATATGCCCCTTCAGAAGGATCAATACAGTCTGTCCTTCTTGACCAACAAATTTCTGAAACTTTAGCAGCCCAATTCTCATCCAGTAGAATGTTGGTGGAGTTGAAATTGCAATGAAGCATGCTCTGTTTCAAGATAGGTTGAAGGTAATTCAAACCATGTCCAGCATCAATGCAGATCTTTAGCATCTGCTTCCATGGAAGAGGATCTTTAGGGTTGTCATGGAGATGATCATATAGACTACTACCCTTTTCCATGTAATTGTATACAAGCATCAAACTTCTCTTGTCAGGCAGGTCGCAGTATCCGATTAGAGAAACAACATTAGGATGGCTGGGCAGTTGGAGATTGTGTAGTTTCAATTGTAGCTTACAAGCCATCTGAATTGATGATGGTTCACTTATAGCTCTTCTGATGGCTATCCAACCCCCGTTCAGATATCCAATGTACACCTTATCTGTGTCCACGAAACCGATAACAGAACTCTCGCTGAAATTCTCAGTGGCATGTTTGATGTCCTTGTGAGAGAAATGGAAAAGTCCTTCGAATTGTGTAGTTGAAGAGGGATCAGCTTTTATCTTTGATGGCAGTGTTGAGGGAGCAACTTTTATCTTTGATGGCAGTGTTGAGGGAGCAGCTTTTATCTTTGATGGCTGTGCTGAGGAAGAAGGTTTTGTCACTGTAAAGCGTTTCAAGAAACCACGCCACCGAGCTGGTGCACTTCTTTTGGTGGAACTTATCCTTTTCTTCTCCATGTGAATCATATCTTTGCCTTTGCCTATACTTAATTCTTCCAAGAAGGGTCCAGATAGGTCATCGGAAGAAAAAGCTCCATCACTATCAGTACTCATGACCATTTTCTCCGCCGCCTCATTTTGTTGCAATGCCAGGGCTAGTTCAAGCCTGGACACCACATGAGCCATATCTGGTCGTCGATGTGGTTGTGTGCGCAAGCATCTTTGCACAATATCAACAAACTCCTCCAAACAAGCTCGAGAAACTTGGCCAGCCAAACTGGTCTCTACAATTTCATGAACGTTTCCTTTCCTCATGTAGCCCGCAGACCACGTAGCAAGGCTTTTCTGCTCCATGACAAGCCTTTTATCCAGTGCAGCTCTACCGGTCAGAACCTCAAGCAACACAACTCCGAAAGAATAAACGTCAGACTTTGTTGTCAATCTTCGAGTCAAGAAGTATTCGGGATCAAAGTATCCAAACGTTCCCTTGACATCTGTGCTGACGTGGGCGAACGGCTCATCCCGATGCCCCATTTTGGACAAACCGAAGTCCGAAATTTTCGCCACCCAATCTCCATCGAGAAGAATGTTGGAGCTTTTCACATCTCGGTGTATGATGGCATTATGGTGGTTGAAGGTGTGAAGGTAATGCAGTCCCTGTGCAGCGCCTATTGAAATCTTGAGTCTCATTTCCCAAGAGAGTGGCATGTTCCCGGTTGAAATATGGTGGAGATGATCTTCAAGTGTTCCTCTAGGCATGTACTCATAAATCAATACCCTCTCGTTTCCTTCATTGCAGAAGCCAATTAGGGAGACCAAATGTTCATTCCGGGCCTCAGATAGCATTTTGATCTCCGTCTGGAACTCCTTATCTCCTTGCCTAGACCCTTCCTTCAAGCGCTTTATTGCCACAACAGTTGCTCCCTCATCAATACATCCCCTGTACACTTTACCATATCCACCGGCTCCAATAAGGAACTCGTGACTGAAGCTATTTGTGGTTAGTTGAATCTCCTCAAGCGAGAATTGCCGAGCAGTTTGATCCGCATCTGCGGCTCTACATCTCATGGCGGAGTTAGCTTCTGATAGATGACGTCTTATGCTATAGACAATAATGTTCAGCATAATGATTGCTATTGTGAATGCCGATGCAATCCCATTCTTTCTGTCAAAAGAAGAGATTACCTGCCTCCTTTGGTGATCCCGCCCTGGAATAACGAATGAAAATATTAGTACGCAACCCTCAGGCATACTGCGTCCCACGACAACAGCGCACATATTTCATTTTGATTACTTGGTAGATATTATTCATCAAAATACTTTCATAGAGTATACAAATTATACTTCTACACAAATATACTCCAGATAAATAATCTCCCAAGTTTACCACATTTGATCAAAATAGTGAGAGGGATTATGAGAATTAGACATACGTACCACGAAGTATATAGTATCATTCTTACCTGGAATCTGCTTTGATAATAATGAACTTTGTGAAGTAGCAGCAAGAGAGTTGTCAGGGTTACTCAACTTGAATATTTCTAAGCCGCTCAGAATTCCTTCTCTCTGTTTACAGCACAACTCATCCAAGTTGTGCTGCAAACTTATGATCAGATTCCCGCTCCCTTCCACCCCCACCCCCACTGCTATATAGTCTTTAAACACCGGCACTCCACGTCCGCCGCTCCATTTCACCACATCTGCGTTATCCTCAGCCACCTGATTATTTATCAGTATCTTGAACTGCCTCTCACCGCTTGCTGATATTTCAGGGTCGAATTCGCAGAAATGGAGCCTGATTAGATACCTGAATCCCAAATCCGCTCTAATTCTCCACGTGAGGTCGTCATTCCTATGAGCATTCATCTTCCTAGCTGTTCGGTAAATCATGAGAGGAGCAACAACATTATGAGTCTCTGAATGCTTTATTCTCATAGCGGTTTCAATGGAAGCACCAATCCCTCTTACTCCGCGGCCAGGCGAAAGGAGGTAACCATAGTCATCTTCCCAGTCCTGAAACATGGTAACATCTTTGTCCTGTCCAGATGAAACTGAATGTCCTCCCACGTTTAATCTCACCACCATCTCCATAGCCGTTGTCGTATCAATGTAGAATCTGTGTTTCTGGCCGACAACGTGGGACCCCTCTGGGGTGAAATAAAGACCAGTCTGCATTGAGACAATCTGTATGCCGTTGATGAAAGCATAGCTGATGGGTGATGATGGCATGAATGTTATAGTCAACAGGGGTTGACTTTCTTGAACATTAACACAGAATTCCTTGCTGACAACCAGAGAATCAGCAGCAGCGAGGGAAGGATTAAACCCTCGGAGGAGAGTGTACGGCCCTGCTTTGACCGTAAAAAAGGCCACGGATTTCTCGTACCCCTTGTACGGAGATGGGTTGAAGTGAAAACGGACAAAGTTCGGGCCGGGCCGGACAGAGAACTGGTAGGTGAACTGGCGGTGAGAAGCCCGAGCTGTCTGGTACGGGACGGGATCAATCAAGACGGTGGCTTTGTGTTGGGCCCTACAAGACCAAGATTTCCCCGTTAAAGAGAAGGTGTTATCTCCAACCCACAGCCGCCCGTCGTGTGCAGTCTTATTTCCAGAAGAGCCGCATGACACGGCCGTGTTCTCGGTTGGGTAATCGGCGGCAGAAGAAATGACAGAGATGATCGCCAGACCATTCAGCAGCGCAAGAATGACGTGCCGATGATGACGATGAATATAATGATGCATACCGTTGGCTTTTAGGTATCAATTTCGACTGATTCTCCAGTCTTGTTGAGCAAAAAGCGAAGACTTTGGTCGGATAAAAAACGGAAGAAGTATAGAGGATGAATCTTCTTCTGGTTAGTTCTCCACCTAGAGTGATTGGGACTGCAATGTCCATTTCGTCGGCTTGACCAGTTCACGTAGACTCGGTCAATTCTTTGTACTGTCATATGCTTGAGTGAAGTGCATGAGTTGAATCCTCAACTCCAACGGCCTTTCAAGCCCCACCTAGAAAGAGTACATGAGGGTTGTACTCATGTAGCAAATTAATTGACCCACTAGGCTTTTGTAGTAGTTTAAGAAAAATTGTAGGTGTACTGTAGATAAAGCAAGAATAAAGTAAGAAACACTGTAGATGATTAAAAGTTGAGGAATACTTTACAAAAGGAGTATAAACAACCGGACCCCATATACATTAAGCACTGTAGCAAAGCGTAAAGGCCATATACATTCGGCCCTGTTGACAGTTCGCACACCCAAAAAAATAAAACACTGTAGCAATTCATAAATGGGAAAAATGCCAGCATAATGGCGCCAACTTTTTAGATTTGGAGCCAGATTAGTTCCAAAATATTCGCACTTCTATAAATAGAAGAGAGAGTGACGAGTTTGGAGCCAAGAACAATGGTGGATTCGTAGATGACCTGCGCCTCTCAGACTTAGGAAAAACCTCTCAGACTTGTTGTCATCATCGAGGGGGGCATTTGACGGCCATTAAACAGGTAAACTTTGTCATCATAGAGGGCGTTTAGGTCTGGTTGCTATTTGGAGGCCTTCCTACAACAATAGAAATTGTTGTGGTTGCTATCTCCAAGCCATCCAAGACCACTGACCACAGTTCCAGGGCAGAAATCCGATCACCGATGCCAAACCTGAAACCTGCAGAGCGTGCATCTGTACTGGACTTCCTGAATCAAAGGACAGTCAAAGGAAAGGTCAAGCGAGGTGGATTCACAGATGCTGCGAATGCTTTTGGTCTCTCTCGCAAAACAGTGTTCAGGTTATGGATTGTGTCAGAAAGATGCAGGGCTGCAGGAGAACCCGTGAACCATAACGCCAACAGAAAGGGAAGGTGTGGAAGGAAGCCCAAAATAGTGGACATTGCGGCATTTTCAGCACTTCCATTCCATCAAAGGAGTTCAATTAGGAGCTCTGCAACAGCTATGGGTGTTCCTGCATCAACTGTACAAAGATTACTCAAGAGGGGAGAAATAAAGCCACACTCAAATGCAATCAAGCCATTCTTAACCCCTGAGAGCAAAATCAGTAGGCTGCAATGGTGCTTATCACACCTCAAAGTACAGGCAATGCCAGAAAGTCCAGTTTTTGATGAAATGTTCAACATTATCCACATAGATGAGAAATGGTTCTATCTAACCAAAGGTAGCCAGAAGTACTATCTGGTACCCGGTGAAATGGAACCACACAGAACAGCCAAAAGCAAAAGGTTCATTGAGAAAGTTATGTTCTTATGTGCAGTTGCCAGGCCTAGGTTCAATGCAGAAGGTGAATGCACTTTTGATGGGAAGATAGGGATGTGGCCTTTTGTTGAAATGGTGCAGGCACAAAGGAATAGCAAAAACAGACCTAAGGGCACACCAGAACTAAAATCGATACCAGTTGTGAACAAAGTAGCATATAGAAACATGATCATCAACAAACTACTACCTGCACTTCATGAAAAGTGGCCACCAAATGATGACAAGACAATATATATCCAGCAAGACAATGCAACTCCACATATCAAGGGAGATGATAATGAATTCATATTGTCAGTTCACAAGATGGGGAGGGATGTTCAACTAATGAATCAACCATCAAATAGCCCGGATATGAATATCCTTGATTTGGGCCTATTCCGGGCTATTCAGTCTTTAAAGGATACATGCTCAACAACAAATTTTTCTGAACTGGTTCAGAACTGCAATGATTCATTCATTGCATACAATCCTCATTCCTTGAATCATGTATTTCTAAGCTTACAGTTATGCATGATTGAAGTAATGAAGGTTAAGGGGGGCAATGCATATTCACAAGTACACATAGGCAAGAATTGAAGAAACTACAAAGGCTTAACATGCTGCCAGTTTCAGTGGCTCCTCCCCCACTACTAGTGTGGGAATGTATGAACTACTTGCAACAAGGGACAATGGACCAAGAAGGAGTGGAGGAAGGAGCAACTGTTGATGCATAAAGAAAGGGACCACTGTATAAAAGGGGTAAACACTGGCAGTTTTGATTTTTGTTGTTGAAGTATGGTTTAAAACAATTTTTTGCAAGGCCATGTATAAATACTCCATATTTTTGCATAGAGGAGTAGGTCTTTGTTTTTTGATGTAACAGTGTATAAGCCCACAATTTGGTCACAATGAATGAAGTAATTTAAGAATTTTAGAATGATGTCGTTAATAACAATGGAGTAAATCAACAATAACCAGGTTTAGATAATGCAAAACACGAGTAGGACTACAGAATACAGAATACACACAACCAAAGCACAAATTAAAGTAGAGATTAGGAATACATCCCTTACGGAATATCCAGACGAATTTCATCCCATGGACCAGCCTTTTCCTTCGAGTTCACCTCCTCTTCACCGGAATCTGTGTCGCCAAACCCAGAAGAGCTTGAATCCACCAAATCGGACCCGAATAATCTCCGGAGAGGCCAGTCTGGGTCAGTTTCTGAAGAGGTTGTCCAGCCTGGACAATCGGTGCTTCGGGAATCCAAATCAGAAACGGGCACCGGATCCGCTAGGCGAATGGGCACATTACTCAGAACAGGGCCTTCCTTCGATTTCTCTGAAGGAGGTGATGGACATCCTTCATTAAGCCTTTGATCAAGCAGTATCAGTTCAGAATCAGACTCATACGGATCCATGCAAAGGAGCGATGGATTGGTAGCTCAGAAATAAGGTGGCAGACAACAGATTAGGAATGGAGAGGAGGGTTGTGAGGAGGGGTTGGGCGGTCGAGATAAACTAGATGGACAACCAAAGAGGCAATAACCTAGACCGACGGAGAGATAGAGAGAAACCAGAGAAACCGGAGAAACAGAGAGAAGGTTTGAACAAGAGAGAGAGGGAGAGACGGATGCTTCGAGAAATGGGGGGGTGATAATGGCCGAATTAATGGGGAAGGTGGGGCGGATAGGGATTTATGGTTGGGTGGGATGGGGATTTAATGGGGAGGAATAATGGGATAAGTGGAGAAAAAAAGTAAAATGTAAAAATGTAATGATGAGAAGTTAAAAGGTGGTGGGGTCCATGTCTAAAAATAGAAATGGGACTTTTAATTTGATACGTCCCGAAAAGGAAAGCGGGTCAGTTAATTTGATACGGAGGGAGTAATAAATAATGATAAAGGTTACTCCATAGTCGACACTGTCAGAGTGGACACCCTCGGCCGGACCGGATTCTGACTCACTTATTCCAAGTTTCACTCCAAACCAGTGGAGGACCTAGGGAGGGGCCTAGGGGGCAAGTGCTAAAGAAATTGTCCTAAATAGGACTAAAACATGGTTGAAATTCTAAAGTAGGACTACCAGTTTTATATTTCACAAATAGGACTCTAGATTACCTTATTACCCTTCCTCCTAAAACTAATCGATCGACTCTCCATCACCGCAAGACTTTTTCCTGTGACTTTCCCTTTGGCCGGTTGCAGCTTCTCCACCGTCGACCGCGTCCTCCGCAGTCCTCCCCCCCCCCCCTCCTCCTCCTCCCCCCCCCCTCCTCCTCCTCCTCCTGATGAAGAACGAAAATTTCATATTGATGAAGAACAATTTTTCTTTGAAAAACAACCGATAGAAAATTGTTGAGTTTGAAATTTTGTATCTTCATCGATTTTCATCAAATTAAAACATAACAATGTCATAACTACTTTTTGCAGAAAAAATGTCACTTTTCAAATTAGAAAAATGTCACTTCTATGACATTATTTTTCATATTTTAAATTTATTAAGATGTCAGTTTTAAATAAAAAAAAAAGCCAATTTATGATAAAACAATGTTAGTTTTATGCCACTAACTTTATAAAGATGACATTCTCTGATTGAATTTTCAATTGCCATTTTTTATTTTAATACTGTCATAATTCTTACAAAATTGCCACAAATTTAATTTATTTATTTTTTACTTTTTTGAAATTGTCATGATTTTTACAAGAAAATGTCATTATTGTGACACTTTCTAATACAAGAAAATGACATCATTTGGAAAACATGTCAAAAAATATGTCATTTGTAATAACAAATATTTATGTCATTATGAGATAAGCCATAAAAATGTCATAACAATGGCATTTTCTTATGGACATGACATTTTCATATTGTCATCCTGATAAAATATACTGTCACAAATATGGCAGTTTTTTCAAATAACCAATGATTTTGACATTCTCAGATTATAAAATGGCATTTTGCTGAATAAATATAATTCAAATCCAAAAATGACATTTTCTCTAAGAACAAGTAGTCATGTCATTTTCAAGTTTGAAATAATTAATCAAAATTAACAAAATAATAAAAATCAAATTCAAATGTTTCTATGTTAATTCATTGAAACTTAGCTCTTTTGTGATATTTCTAGATCCAAATTTCATCTAAAATTCGAAGTTCACAAAACAAAAGAGACAAAAAGAAAACAAAAAGAGAAAAACATAGGGCTAGAAAGAGGGGAAAAAGAAGGAGATGAAAGAGGGGAAGAAGTAGAAGAAAGACGAGGGAAGGAGGAGGGCGTAGAAAGATTGGGAGTAGGGGGTTACTTGGGAAATTGCAGAAGAAAAGAGGATCCAACGTGAGCAGAGGAGAGCGGCAATGGAGGATCAATTCAATCGGCTATGGAGGAGCTCCGATCCATGGGATTAAGATGTTTGTGATGAATTGCAGAGGATGGCAACGATCGCTCAATGTTACGGAGTAGGGGCTATTTCTGTCCAAATACAAATATATACTCCTATTTAGGCAATTTAAAACAATGAGTCCTATTTTTGCAATTACCCCATGTTTTACTCCCATTTTGGAAATTCTCTCTAGTACTTAACTTAAGATAAAAACTGTGTCCTGCTATCCGGACAAAAAATTAGAGTATTTTTCATAAATATTACAGGAATATAAC